AATAAGGGGAAAACTGGTTGCTATTTCATATATTAGAGCTTATTGTCAATGTTAGAAATGATTAGGTCTGGCAATAGAGAACAGAAAGATAAGAGTCGACTATTGTCCGATAAATGTGGATTGAACACTTGGATACGCGATCAAGACAATACGCTGTAAGGCACAATGTTGAGAATGCAGAATTGTAGGTGTTGGCAGAGATACACATGATGCTGGTCCTGTCTGCCACAGTATACCTTCACTAATATGCACTTGGCCCTGGTGTAACTGGAACTGAAGCTTGCTCATGTTTCATGGTAAAGAACGCATAACCCACACGCAAGACCACGGAGAAGGTGCATGATGGGGAGATGGTCTAACACTTCAAAAGTCATCAAGCACATAAACAAAATACCACAGATGCTTGAAATCTGAAATGAAAAACATCTAATAAGAGGTCACAGGCATTAAATGTCAGCTTTGTCCCCACAGATACTTGTCTGACCTGCCATATATTTTTAACAGTGTGAACAGGATGAACCGGAAAAGGACTGAGGCTTGAGAGAAATCAGGGTACGTTTGATTATTTTTGTATTTGAGCATGTAAGATGTACACTTATTTTTAATATCTCAAACTCATTTCATGTTTATGTTTTAGTTCAATTGGCAGAAACACCAGAATTGTCAGCAATCTCCAATGCCATGCTAATGATAATAGTCTAATTATAAATTGCTCTTCAAGGGAAGATTGACTCTGAGTTATTTAAAACAGCAAAACACATTACAAGTTATCAAGCAGACTGACTTGCAAGTGTACAGCTTGCAGACCTAAAAATGCCTAACCACCAGGCAGAGTTACAATATTTAAAAACAAACAGGTAATGGAGTCCTTAAAAGGTCTTTAAAGGTGAACTCTTTTAAAATCACAGTATCTTGGAATGGAGAGGGAAGTTGCATATGTAAAGTTCAACTATTACAGAAACAAATGAGACTCTGCATTTCAATAATCTATAGGCAATTTGCTGATATGCCCAGATTTTGCAATGGTGACTTTGTCTGGAGCTGCTGTTGATTTCCACAGTTAACGACATTGTTTGTCATTCCAGATTATGATGTCAAGATTTTCTATTGTGGACTGCAGTTTGCCCACTTAACTCTATAGCCAAGCAGCATCAGAGGAGCAGGAAAGTTGATGTTTCGGGTCAGGACCCTTCTTCAGAGAAGGGTCCCGACCGGAAGTGTCAACTTTCCTGCTCCTCCGATGCTGCCTGACCTGCTGTGTTCCTCCGGCTCCACACGGTGTTATCTCTGACTCCAGCATCTGCAGTTCTTACTGTCTTTGACCCTATAGCCAAGATTTGTCTTCAATTAGTCACTGACTAATCTCATTTCTTAAGCTATTTCGAGTGGTTCAAATGGTCTTGGCATTTACTGTTTTGTTTCTAACAGTTCCCAGCATATTTTGAAGTGTATGCTTTCACATCCTTTAGATTTCTGTTGGTCCAGGATATTTTCTTCCTTCATAATATGCTCCAGTAACAATATAGCCTCTCTGTCTCTTTACAGTTTTTCTTGGAAGTCTGTACCTCTTCCACTTGCTGCTTCAGTGGTTGGGTGGTTTCCTCTAGATTCTGCTCAATTCATACAAGCATAACTGGTACATTTATTTTTGAAAGGACTGTCTGACGAGTGATTTTTGTTATGTGCGCTGTACATCTCCAGCTGTTTTTGTAGGTTTGTCATTATCTACAGGATAGCTTTGAACTCACACTGATGTTTCTGCAGCTGACCATAAGATTTAGGAGCAGATTTAGACCATTCTGCCTATCGAGTCTGCTCTGGCATTCATTCATGGCTGATATATTTCTCAACCCCATTCTCCTGCCTTTTCCTCTTAAACTTTGATCCCCATACTAATCAAGAACCTATCTCGGTCTTCAATACACTCAATGACTAGGCCTCCACCGCCTTCTCTGAAAATGAGTTCCACAGATTCACCACCCTCTGCCTGAAGAAATTCTTCCTCATCTCAGTTCTAAAGAGTCATTTCTTCACTCTGTGGCTGTGCCCCCTGGTGCTAGATTCTCCTACAAGTGGAAACATATTCTCGACATCCACTCTATCCAGGCCTCTCAGTAGTCTGTAAGTTTCAAACAGAACCGCTGCCCCCCTCCACCTCACCCTTATAAACTCCATCAAGTAGAGTCCCAGAATCCTCAACCACTCCTCATATGACCAGCCCTTCATCCCTGGGATCTTTCTTGTAAACCTCCTCTGGACACCCTACAAAGCCAGCAATTCCTTCCTTAGATACAGGGCCCAAAATTGCTCACAATTGTCCAACTGTGGTCTGACTACAGCATTATACAGCCTCAGCAGCACATCTCTCCTAACTGCTAAATGAACTTGCATGTTAACCTTAACAGAATCCTGAATTAGGACTCCTAAGTCCCATTTTGCTTCAGATTTCTGAAGCCGTTCTCCATTTAGAAAATAGTCTATGCCTCTAATCTTCCTACCAAAGGGAATAACCTCACACATTCCAACATTGCATTCCATCTGCCAATTCTTTGTTCACTATCCTAAGTCTATGCAAATCCTTCTGCAGCCTCCCCATTTCCTGAACACTACCTGTCCCTCCACCTATCTATGCGTCATCTGTAAACATAGCTACAATGTTTGCCATTCCTTCGTCCAGACTGTGAATGTATAATATGAATAGTTGTGGTCCCAACACCGACCCCTGCGGAACTCCACTAGACACTGGCTGCCATCTTTCATCCCCAATCTCTGTCTTCTGCCAGTAAGCCAATCCTCTATCCATGTCAGTACCTTGCCCCTAACATCATGGGCTCTTACCTAATTTAGCAGCCTCCTGTGTGGCACTTGTCAAAGGCCTTCTAGAAAAGTCCAAATAGCTCACGTTCATCGGCTCTCCTGTGTCTAACTTGCTCGTTACCTCCTCAAAGAATTCTAACAGATTTGTCAGGCATAGCCTCCCCTTGATACAGCCGTGCTGACTCTGCCATATTTTATCATGCACTTTCAAGTACTCTGCAATCTCATCCTTAATAATGGACTCTAGAATCTTACCAATGACTGAGGTCAAGCCAACCGGCCTATAATCTCCAGTCTTCTGCCTCCCTCTCTTCTCAAACAGGGGTGTTATATTAGGCATATTCTAGTCCACTGGGATCCTCACTGACTCCAGTGATTCCTGAAAGATCACCTCCAACGTCTCTACAATCTCCTCAGCCATCTCCTTCAGAACTCTGGGGTGTGGCCCATCTGATCGAAGTGATTCTGAACTAGATCACCTTCCTATTTCATCTTCTTTCCTGTTATTGTTTCTGTTTTAGTTTAGTACACAGCATCCTCTACAATGAGACCAAATGCAGATTGGTTGACCTGCTCTCAGTACCATTTCTTCTGTCTGCAGACCTGACCCAGAGCTTCCATTACCTGTCATTTGATGTCTTCGCATCACTGTGACCCTGGCCTACCAAGCTGTTCTACGAAGCTATACAAAAGCATGAGCAAGAGCACCACATAATTCTATTAGATATTTTACAGCCCTCTGGACTTAACAAAGAGTTCAACAATTTTAGAACAAAACCTTTGACCTCATTAGTTTGGGCAACAGCTGATGACAAGAATTATACTTGTTCCATTTCCACCTCCTCTACACCCACCTTCCGTTTCCTTATTTTTCTCATTATTATATCCTCTTGTCAAACACTATCACTCCTAGATTCCACCCTATTTCATATTGTCCCTTCAGTTCTTTTCTTCAGACCCCACGTCCTGACCTGGCTCTGTACTTGCTTTAAACTTGTTTAATTCAATTTCTTTTTCCAGTTCTAGCAAAGGGTCACCAACCCAAAAATTAACTCTATTTCTCTGCTCTGAAGATGCTGCTGAGAATTCCCAGCATTTGTGGTTTTAATTCCATTGCTTCCTGTTGTTTTACCTACTTTCTATCTGAGCTGCTACTCATGGATGTCAGCAATGTTGTCAAATGAAATTTGAAATTCTTTGGTCATTTAAGGAACAATCAGGTGCTACAATAAGAGGAAACTGTGGGTTCTTTATTGATGGATAAATTATGATGGAATGAATGGCTTTCCACATCCAGAACTCCTGCATTACCTTGTGAATTCTATAATCAGCTAGCACTAATCAAATATTCAGTCACAAATGTTATTCTTCTGTTGATATCTTTTCAAGCTCAGTGATACCAATTGCCTCCTTATTATGTATCAGCCTATAAATATACAGCGTCAGAGCAGTTCAACAGAATTTCACTACCTGCTGCCTCAGATCTCCTGATTTCATTTTTACATGTAACAGTACTCTAAGGCTTACAAGCAGCATTTATAAATAGCTCTTATTCAAATTGGTTCTTCAATGAAACGATCCCAGACCATCGTATCCATTTTTCTGACATCAGTACACATCACTCTTGTGCTCTGTTTAGTCCAAATCATCTACATATACTGAGACTTTGCACTGAGCCCTGGGGTTCACCATTCCCACTCTTTCTTAACTTGAGCAAGACACAGTTACCCTAACACTTTGCTTCCAGTTCGTGAGAGTGAGAGTTAGACACAGATGGTAGCCCAGAGATAATATCACTGGGCTAATAATGCAGATGACCAGGCTAATGCTCTAGAGACACAGGTTCAAAGTTCAGCATAGTAGCTGGAGGAATTTATATTCCTGGAATTGAAAACTAGTCTCAGTAATGATGACCGTGATGCTGTCTTGGATTGTCATAAAAATACAACTCATTTATTTTAATCTGGTCTGGCCTACATGTGGCTGACTCTTAACTGCCCTCTGAAGTGGCCCAGCACGACAATCAGTTCAAGGGCAATTAAGGATGGACAACAAATGCTGGCCAACATCCCTTCAAAATAAATGTGCGGTACTCCCTCAGAACAAGAACGACACTTGCTTGAAATATGTTATATTCCATGCTCATGGTTATTACTCAAATATAATTTAAATCTTTCACCTACCTTAGTCCATCCAGGAAATTTAAGGTATGTATCTTGAGGTAGATCTGGAATACCATTCGGAATCTTAAAAGTACCCAAATAAAAGGCTGGTACACTAGCATTAACCTTAGGTAGTGCTTCTGAAGTCTTCCTCTGGAATTTGTTTAAGTAGCCACTTGCCACCGCTTTGTCAATATTTAATGAATAGATGGTCCAGTTGGTCAGGATGTTTGAAGCCAAAGTAAGATTTGTTACCAGTCCCTGAGGAGGAGAGCAAAAGAAAGAGAGACATTTTGGATCATTTGTTAGCAGTTGATATTGACGCTGCTTTTGCCCTGCCATCTGCTAACCTATGAAATTATATTAGATACCCAAATACACACAAAGTGGGCAGTGCCTTATATTGAGAACAGGGTCAGAAATGGAAATGCATGCCTGACCAATTCCCATTTGTCTTTGAGATGGGACCCATACCTTCTCTCTTACTGGGGGCACACTGGATAAACTTCTTGGGAAAGCCCAGGGACAGATTCCTCCCTTCAGGCCTTCAGCATGTGGGGTCACTGGGAGGCACCTGGTCGGTCTCAATCCCACTGCAGATGTCTGGTGGTATCAAAAAGCAGAAACCCTAGAACTTTAGGGCAAGGACAAAGTCCTGGCTCCCTGGAAAAAACAATTTTACACCCTTCACCCAACTGCAAGGTGAGGGTGAATTAAACTGGAATATATGTCACTCCACTAATTAAGAAAGACAATACAGAGGAAAACCAGGGAATTGTAGATCATTTATAGCCTAACACTTTCTGTCAGGAATTTACTACAGTCTGCAACAAAGGACTGAGTGAGTGAAAAATGCTCAGCTGATCCAAGACAGCCAGCATGGATTTGTAGAGGATAGATCATACCTGACATGAACTAGGAGCAGGAATCAGCCATTTGGCTCTACAAGCCTGCTCAACCATTCAATAAGATTGAAGTTGATCTGTTTGCATTCAAAATTCCACATGCCCATCTCCTGCTGATAACCTTGGATTTCCCAACCTTACATGAATCTGTCTACCATGGTCTTACAATTATTCTGAGATGGTGAGTTGCAAAATTGCACAACCCTCAGAAAAATGTTCCTCTCACCTCCATCCAAAAAAGATGACCACAAATTTTATAACAGTGGCCCCTAGATTTAGAATGACCCAAAGATTAAACGTCCTTCCCATATATACCCTATCAAAATCATTCAGGATCTTATATACTTCAATCAAATTGTCCCTCACTCTGAATTCCTTAGGTTACCTCCTACACCATTAGCTTCTACCTTGCACAATAACCTTTTGTGTGGAATCTTGTCAAATACCTCTTGGGAATCCAAGTAAAATACATCAATGGGCTCCCCTTTATCCGTAGGATGTTACTTCTTCAAAGAATTCCAATAAGTCGGCTATGATTTTCCTTTCACAAAATCATGCTAACTGTTCCTGATTAACTTGTGTTTTTTATAACCGCCTCAATGATCAATTTCTAATACCTTCCCTACAACACACATCAAGGTAACAAACCTACAGATTCCTGTTTTCTGCCTCCTTCCTTTCTTGCTACTTTCCAGTCTGATGGAACCTTTTCAGAACAGAAGGAAAGTTGAAAAATCAACATCTAAGTATCGATTATTTCATTTACTACCTCTTTTAAGACCCGAGAATGAAGTTTATCGGGACCTGCAGACTTGTATGCACACAGCTCTATCAGTTTGCTCAAGACCACTTCCCTTAATGATTATAACATCCTTTCTTCTTTCCACTTCCTGATTTGCAGATAATATTAGGATTTTATTGGTATCCTCTAAGACAGAAGCAAAATACTTATTCATTACATCTGCCATTATCTACTACAAACTCCTCATTCTCTTAAACCCTCTAGATGGCTGACATTCACTTTACCTACTCTTTTCCTTTTTACATGGCAACAGAAACTTTTATTATCTTTTTATATTTTTAGCTATACTCCTCCCATGTCCAATTTATTCAGTCATTCTCCGCTATTCATCATATTCTAAGTCATCGCACCCGTCACTTACCTTTGCACAACTTAAATCGTTAAGGTTTTGAATTTAAGATTTTATCTTCCTTAATTAATCCTGATGGGGAATCTTCCCCTTGGATTTTTTTTAAGTTTAAGAATGGACTTATTCTGAGTATTCTGAAATGTCCCTTTAATATCTGTTACTGATTTATCTCCTTGCCCAGTTTACTTCAGTTAGCTGAGTGTTCATTGTCACACAATTGACCTTGTTTAAGTACAAAATACTAGTCTTGGATACACTCTTCCCCCTTTCAAACTCGATGCCTTCACTCAGAAGTCATTAATTAATCCTTTCACATTGAATTTTTAAGAGGTAATTAAAGTAGTGACATGGAGAATGTCTATAGATTTTAATTGCTTGGACTTCCAGATGGCAGCTGATTATGTTTCTCATTAGAGGCGGTTGGTTAAAGATGGTGAAGTTGAAGATCATGGAACCAAAGGGTAAAACACATAAATAGACTTCAACACAGACAAGAAGTGAGATAATTTATTTTGGACACAAAAAGGAATAGGACAGGATAATTTCTAAATAATGAGAGGCTAGAAACTGAGGACTTCCGAAGGCAATTAGGGATCTAAAGATATAGATCAATACAATCTCATGAGCAGGGGCTGAAAGCAATCAAAACATCTAATGGAAAGCTGAACTTTGTTTTTGAAAGAAAACTAGAATATAAGGGATTAGGAGTCCCGCTTCAGCTATACAAAGCTCTGAACAGACAACATCTAGATTACTGTGAGTCATCCAATTACTACACCTTTGGAACAATACAGATGTACAGGAGCAGCAAGAACAGCTTGTCTGAGGAGTGTTGTATATCACAGAGACACCTATGATCCTTTAACTCCTCTTAATTCCTTCAGGTCGAAGGTGTTGCCATGCGTACCTGCATAGGTCCCAGTTATGCCTATCTCTTTGTGGGGTATGCAGAACATTCCTTGTTCAAGTCCTACTGTGGCCCCCACCCACAACGTTTTCTCTGGAACATCAAAGACATCATCGGTGCTGATTCCTTCGCTCATTTGAACTGGAAAAAATTATCAACTTTGCTTCCAATTTCTATCCTGTCCTCACCTTCACCCATCTATCTTCAACTCTTATCTTCCCTTCCTCAACTTCTCTGTTTCCATTTCTGGACATCGGCTGGCTGCTGTTATCCATTACAAACCCACTGATTCTCAGTTACCTCAACTATATATCTTCACAAAAAAAAAACCAAAAGAACTGCGGATGCTGTAAATCAGGAACAAGAACAA